TATCTATACCATAGTTTGTAGACTCTATAACTTTCACACAAAGCAATCAATATACACTTATTGGGATTTTTTTTTACCAAAAACATGTAGCAGAATACATTTTGGGCTAAATTTATAACTAATTTTGAGTTTACTATATATTTTTTATAGCTGAAAGTAAAAAATATAATTTTTCTTCAAAATTTTTGGTCTTTTTTTTGTTTATAGCGTAAAAAATAAAAAGCGCACAGGTGATCAAATACCACCAAAAGAAAGCTCTATTTGTGTGGAAAAAAAGGACATAAATTTCGTTTGGGTGCAGCATTGCATGACTGCGCAATTATCAGTTGAATTAGTGCAGCGCCGAGTAGCAAAAAGAGGCATGGTCAGGAAGGGGGGTAAATCCTCAGGAGGGTAGTTAATTGGGGAATCTGCATAGTACCATACTGGATAATATCTGGAATTTAGTTTCACATTTGCTTCTTGTTCTAAATGTGTCTCCTGTAAAAAACACTGAAGAGAATCTGTGCTGAATTTCCTTAAAAATCCAAAATTTCTTCCCAAAACTACTTAAACCTTTTTAATTTTATGACTTATAATGTTAATCTTCCATTCTTCCTTTCTTCTCCTCCCATTTCCCTCTTCCCCATATCTTCTCTTTCTTTTTCTAGGTTTTCTCCATACATATTTCTTACCATTTCACAGAGTCTAAAACTACCTACCCTTCCCCCCCATACCCTCCGCCCATCCCCCCCCCCCCTCTCCCTCCCAACCCCCCCTCCCTTTTTAGGCAAATAATTAGCCTATGAATCATTTGTGGTCTGAGTCCCACCTTTGATTCCATTTTAGGGTGAAGCTCTTGAACCTGTCCACCTCAACCCATTTACTCTCCCCCAGCATCCCATCAGTTTAACCAAAGGAGGAATATTTAAAAGAAGAGGGGAGAAGGAAAAAAAAAAAACCCTCTCCGAACATAAAGAGAAGAAAAGAAAATCAGACAACCTCTTCCTAGGGAAATAGAGAGGAGAGAAGGAGGGCCACAGGGGAGAGAGAAAAACAAACAAAAAAAAGCCCTAGGGGGGAAAACCTCTCTTGGGGCCCTCCTCTCCCCCTCCCCTCCCCACATCCCCCTCTGATTTCAAGTTCTCTTCTGGACCCCCTGCCACCCCTCACTTTCTATATTCCCTATTTCTTCCTCCTTCTCACCCCATCCAGGGATATCTATATATTGCAACTCTAGCCTCTCACAAAAGTCCCTCAGTTCATCAGGAAACCTTAATTTGGCAGAACACCCATTTCTCCAACCGATTAAACATGCTGTGGACCCCCAGCTGTATCGAACGTTCTGCTTCCTCATTTGTTCTACTAATGGTTTCAAAGTTTTTTTTCTTAACAATGTCTCTGCAGCAAGGTCCACAAACAACTGTACATTTAATTCACCATATTTTATAACTGTTCTTCCTTTCATCCTCTTCCAGATCTCTTCTTTATCACAGTAATGATGAAGTTGGACTATAACATCTCTCGGGTTACCTTTTCTACCTTCTTGTTGAAGTCTCCCAATTCTATACACCCCATCTATTTTATACGGTTCTGCTGCAGATCTTTCCATTATTCTATCTAACATTTTCTCTGTTATTTCCCTCAGGTCTTCTCCTTGAGAGATCTCTGGGAGACCTCTTATCCTTAGGTTATTTCTTCTGAGCCTATTTTCCTGATCTTCCAATTTATATAGCAGGTCTCTGTGTTCTTTTTTCATTTCCACCATTTGTTTGCCTATGGACTGAATCACTTGGGCATGTTTATCTATTTTTTTCTCCGTCTCCTCTACTCTAGATAACACCTGCCCCAGATCTATGTAACTTAGCCATTTCCTGTTTTATAGATTTTTCCAAACTTTTAAACATTCCTGCAATTTCTGATTTAGTTGGCAAATGTGTGTCCTGCTCTTCCAAGTTCTCCTGTGGACTTGTTTTCTAAACATCTGCTTCCTCCAAATTTTGGCTAATATTAGTTAGTCCCAAGGACAATCTGGAACTTTCTCCAATACTGTTTTCCAACAAACACTTTTCATTTGTTCCATTTTGCCTCTCAGGAGTCTGTTTTTCCTGCCCGGGAATGTATTTTTTAATTGAGCTTGATTGCAGGGCCTTTGACCCACCTCCTTTTGTTGCCTTGTTTTTGATTCTTAATATATATCTGATAATTTAGATACTTCGAAATCCAGATATTTACTTCTCCAACCGTATAATTTTCCTTCTCCTTCTTCTCTTCTCCTTAACCTCCTCTCCACCTCTATGTCCTCCTCTCCTCCATCCCCCTCTTTCCCCCCACAGGGACTTAGGATCTTTTCAAAACTTTTCTCCCTTATATAACCTTTAAACACTTGAGTCCAATTCCCTCATTAGTTCCCCAGATGACCCCGTAAATGCTACCCCCATAATCAAGTCCATCAAACATTTGCTTCCATCACATAGTCACTAATAAAAATCATTTCAGATATTTCAAAAGTAATCTTCAGCCACTCTCACTCACCCAAGTTGTTCTTCCTTCACTTCAAAGAGGGAGGGGGTGGCGTCTAGATATTCATCCAAGAGGGGGTTGCGTGTGTATATAGCCTTCACATTCCATGTGACTTTGGGGATCTGTTGGTACTGGGGCTCTTCTATCACTGCAGCTCCCTGAAGCCTTGCCCAGGGGATAACTTTCACTATCACTTTATGGGGGTAAGGGAGACAGAGAGAACCGTGGCAGTGTGTGTCTCTGTAAACTGGCCGGCTTCTCTCTCTCTCTCTGACACACCTCCTCTGCCTTCGGTCATGTGTCTGCCCGGCTTCCAGGACTCACCGCCTCCTCTCACTCCCCTGGATCCGCTCACTCAACCGCATCCCCCCTTCACCGAGGTCCGCGGGAGACAACCAGATCAACCCGGAGCCACAGCAGGGGAGTCCCCTCTGCCGACCTCGATCACCGTGCTGCTGGTGGGATGCTGGAGGAGCTAGGTGCCGTGAGATCTCACCTCGATCTCACGATCGACGCCATGCCCAGGCTCCTCCCCCCCTCTAGTTAAAGTATTAAGGATCTCGATTCTTATCAGGTTGATCAGTTTTTAGTGGTATACTGACAGTTTCACACATGGTTCTTTACTCCTGATCTCTTACCTGATCCACTCTTTGTTCTTCTCCAGGGGCTCAAGTCAAGTGCTGGTATCTGAGAGCAGGTTACAAAGTCTTGCGGATAGCTGTTTGCTACAAAAACATTTTGTGGGACTTGTGTGATCCCTGTGTTGTCACAGATGATTCGAGACATTGTAACTCTTTCTATTGCCCTTGTTTGAGCTGGGTTGAACTGACTAGGCAGCTCATAATAAAACCTGTATGGAAATAAGTAATCAGTAATGTAGAATCAGAAGAGTGCCCATATTGATACAAAAAGGGCAGGTTATTGCAAAGTTACTCTATACTCACCTGTCTCCGTCACGGGTTCTGCGGAACTGGTTTCCAATTAAACAAGCCAACAGTTCTCCCACTCTGGCATTAGGCAGCAAAGGTTCTGCAACAGCTCCAATCCAGATGTCAATGTTCTCAGGTGTGCCATATAGCTGCATGAATTTTTCTGCCAATTGTTTGTTTCTTAGCACCTGAGCCAGTTCAGTCACATTACGAGGTGCGCGAAGTCCACAAAATCTTCTCCATGTGTTATATCCTAATTTAAATGAAATTGCAAAAAATGGCCATCGTGAAAACATAAAAATCTACATAAGAAGTGAAACACTAAATTAACATAACTTAAAATGGTATAGGTAATTTAGAGATTCAAGGTTTATGGTCTTCTAAATAGGGCTCATAACAGCAAACATGTTATTACCATATCATAAACCAAAGTACAATGGATTTTTCTAAACATTCATTATAAATAAGATCCTAGATGGAGGCAACAACAAATACCAACTATCCTCCTTAACTTTCTGTGCAGAAGCTTTGTAGCTTATTTTTACAATCTACCTGGTAGTCCATGATCTCTGCTTCGTTGCATGTTAATGGCCCCCAGATCAAGGCCAAGACGTTTGAAAAGCTCAAACAGGTGTTCTCGGAGCTCATCTACCAAAATCTGGTTCTGTCGGTTGAGTTTTGCCTTGTTTGCCATTAGACCACGAAGAAGAGGGTCAACACCTCCTGAAAGACCACCACAATATAAAAAGTCATAAGTTTGAAATTAGTAAAAAAATGAGCTTTATTTGGGTCATAAAGGTTAAAAGTAAAGAATAATTACAATATTAGGCAAGGAGACTGGTAATGTAAGAGGGCATAATGTTGATGATATTCTACACAATGGTAAAGAACACTAAAGTAGGTCTAAAATGGGGTTGGGTGTATTCCATGCTTTAGCGTTTCATATTCTGGAAAACCTAAACATACCTTCTCGGACAACTCTCCAGGTGTTGAAGAAGGTAAGGTGCAGAGGAACCGGAGGCAGGTTTCGTGAGGTCTGATAACGATCCACCAATCGATAAATGAATGGCTGGATCATTGTGTGGCCCATACGGAAAACTAGACTGAACACATTCGATGCTCCTGGATCCACAGAATCATTGTAGCGACGGTAAGGTGGAACAACCCTGGACATAGCAGATCCCAGTAGAAGTGGCAGCCATTCTTTATAGTTTATTTTCTGTAAAAGAAAAAAATATTTAGAACTTTTACTGTTAAAAATAGTAGAATTCTTTATAATGGTTCAAAATGTTTAGAAATGCTAGTAAATAAGAAGATGGTAGACACTGGTGCGTGTGTATTGGTTGGATCATCTTCCAATTGCTAGAATGTGTGTGTGGTCTCTGCTGATTATAGTCCAAAAAAAAACAAAACTGTAGCCTAATGTTCAAACCATGTATCTGGTGATGGATCCCCTTATGTACGTTGGCTTTTAAAGCAAAACCAACTCCTCACCTGTGTCACAGCCCCTATTATCTTTCTTGTTTCCTGGAAGAGTGTTTCTCCAGCCCATCTTGGATTTAATCTGCGCAACTCAGTGGCAATGCGGTTGTGTTCTCTTATGAAGATTGTGTGAAACGCGGTCAAACCAGGCTGCTCACTGACTCGAGGATCCCCTGAAGGACACACAGAAGGTTAACATCATCTATTTTTCATGACTAACATATGCATTAGGGATCATACGCTTGCAGTTAAAAAAAAACACATATTAGGAGGGTAATAAGTGGATATTATACAATCTAGCCAGCGTTCTGCACAGTCCTTTTAAATGATATATTCACTAAATGAGATGTGAGATGTCTCTGGTGTCGCAGCCATTGCCGACACTTTAATTAAACAAGCAAGTTCTGCTGTTGTCACCATCAGAAAAAGCATGCCATTCAATTAGTAGTTTATACTATAAGCTATGACATCAGTCTCTTATTTTCCATTGTGCCATTATAGTTATACTATCTGTCATATAGGTTTACCCACCAGCTAAGAAACATGGGAGACCGAGGTTCTATTTGTCTGGAGACAGAAGTCTTCTTCAATCCCGTTTGTGCTGAATGGTAAGTAGACCCGCCCATTATCAGTAAACATGGCATTAACAGCCATAAGACCAAGCTGATTGTTCCTGTTACGAATTCTGTTGGCCAACTCATTGGTGCTGCCATACACTTGACTAGCATCAATGTAAGAAGTGAGAATATTCATCTGTTCACGTATAGGGGACCGTGGCACACTGGCTGGAGATGAGCGGAAGAGCGGTATGCAGTCAGCGCGATTTTTTATTCGAGGGTCGTTAGGAGGGATCTGTGAAATTAAGTGCAAATGATCAACTATCTTTTTCACCTATTTTTTTTTTTACATATTTTCATATTCACACATTTTTGAAGTGTTCAGGTTATCTGGGACAGATAAAGCATTCTCTGTATATATGGCATGTACAAAAGTGGACCGACCCAAATCAACCACTTAAGCCCCAAACACAACCACAAAAGCCCCAACACAATTGCCATTAGAATGATATAGGGCTACAGTCCACTATTCATTAAAAAAACACATGCTAATTTACTGAGGGTGTGAATACATATGCAGCCAATAAAGGTCAGCTTTCATTGTTTAACAAGCTTTATACCACAATAAAACAAATATTTTTGTACCTTCAAAGTGTTAATTAGGATTTAAAAATCCCAATGAAATGTGTTTTAATTCCATATTAAACACTACAAACTGTGGAAATGAATACTTATGCAAAGCAATGTATGTGCTTGTTTGTAAAAAAAAAAATAGATTAGACTAGTTATAAACTGCTAAACTGTTTCTAATTCCTTTATAAATAAAAAATGATTTTAATAGAAAGTTACCTTCAGAGGAAAACATGGTAGCTCCCGGGCACAGCTGTGATCACAATCAATGCCTCTTAGAAAGGTTGATCTTGATGGAGTCTCTGGTGCCAGATCGAGGTCATGATCAATCCATTGACCCCACTGCATGAACATAAGTGATCTCTGCCTGTCTAGGGTCTGCTGGCTCTCTGGGAATTGGATAATCTGATTGGATACAGCCCGCGCCTAAAAAGCATGACAATTTAAGGTGTTAAGTACATTGTGATGCAGTTGGAATCAAGCACATTTAAAGGATTTGTTCAATCAAAATGTTTTTTCCTATGTTTTGGATACTTTGGGGGGGGGGTGTTGGGGAGGGGGGGGGGGTTAGAACCCTGGTCAGGTTTTTTACATCCATCCCAGGGCTCCTTTAGAGAGGTTTCCACCTCACTTTCAGTCCTGTTGACACTGTTTACCAAGCGGGAAGTGAGTGGAACTCTCCAACAGTAACACAGATAGCTTATGATGTTGAATCTGAAGGTTTTCAGATCTTCACTACATAAGTTTTATAATGCACTATTTATAGGAGCAGAACAAATAATCACCAGAGGCAAAACAAAACCATTGATTTTTTTTGACTTTCTGTCCATCCTTGAGGTAAGGATCTTCCATCTTCATACTGGGCTCTTAGCAATCGTGTATAGGGTCTGTTGGAAACACCAAAGTTGGGAAATCTCCTAAAAAGCAAAAGGCCAATATTTTAATTCTGTTTAATAGTTTATAATCCCCAACAATTAGTATCTCTTATGTGCTCCCTTTTGGTCTGGTGAAAGTACCAGTGAAAACATGTTTTTTATTTCCCTACCTCTTGATCCCATCAGAACTCTTGAGAGTAAAGATGGGTACACATGGATCGAAATTTGGCCCGTGCAGCAGGGACCGGCCCAAACATTTGAGTGTGGCTCTCCCTCATTGACAAAAGTCCATCAATTAATTGGCTTCTGTGGAACAGCCATGTTGGAAACCTTTAATTGATCAGCACCTGCAGGTCTCCAGTTGCAGACGCTGATCATTGTATTCTGACAGCAGAGTGTCCCTGATGTCAGAATATAATGTCACAGCAGGGAGGATTTTTCTATCCAATTTGCTGGTGTGGAGGGTGAAATCGTTTTTTTTTTTTTTTTTTATTATTCAGCTGGGCGGCTGAACAAAAACAATTAAGCCTGTTCACCCAGTACTGCTTGTGAAAACTGTCTGTACTCTTTAACAATACAAGTCCTTAAAGATTTAAGCTGGCAACTGGGATGGCCCTTCATATAAATCCTTTATTGGTACAAAATATCAGATACAGAAGTCACAGAATGCTATCGTGATTCGGCTGAAGCCTTCCTCATAGCTATGAGGAAGGCTGCAGACGAAAAGCATTAGTATCTTGTGGATTCTGTATCTGATATTTTGTACCAATAAAAGATTTATATGAAGAAGCATCTGAGTTGCCATCTTAAATCTTCAAGAACTTGAATTGTGGAAGTGATTCCCCCAGCTTGAGCACCTGTTCTCTGCTCTTATACTCTTTAAGCTTTTACTCTTTTTTTTAGCAGTGGAGCTTACTTGTCTGTACTCTTTATTTGTGCTGCAATCTTATCAGTTACATTGTTCCCAGTTAGCTATGTGGACTACAAACACCCCCCAAGTTATGAATAGAAATAGAAGGGGGAGTTATATAGTCCTGTCCTAGCGTGACAATGCTGCTTATCCAAAGATACAGTACAAAAAGTGAGATCTGTCACTATAGGACAGAAAGTGTGTTACTTGCAGGCAGGGGCGGACTGACAACTCATGGGGCCCCCGGGCAATAGGGGATCATGGGGCCCCTGTGTCCTTGCCCAAACTCAAAAAAGCCTATAAAAAAGGTACCAGGGGCATCTTATGGGGCCCCCTAATGACCCCGGGCCCTCGGGCAGTGCCCGAGCTTCCAAATGGTCAGTCCGCCCCTGCTTGCAGGTTCACCAGGCAAAAATAAAGGGAAAAACATTTTTAAAAATGCAGCCACCATATTTAAAGGACTGGTAAGTCACAATATATTACATTTTTGTTCTTGAGTTTTGATACATGTAAATGCACGATATTCACATTTACTTGACCAACACAGAAAAAGCTTAAATATTATCTGTAGCATGTTACATAGTTAGTCTGGCTGAAAAAAAGACAAAAGTCCATCAAGTTCAACCATTAAAAAAAAATTGTTAACAGTGACTATCAATCTTCTGAATGTATATTAGGTTTTTTTGTCTATTGATAGGCAAATCATTTGTAAACCATACCAAAACATGGTTATTGTACAAACCTAGAGGGCATGGCTGTGGCCTTCCTAGCTTCAGGTTGAAAAATAATTGTCACATTTAGAAAATGAGTGTAAAGGAATAAGGCCATAATCAAGTAACTAATCACACATCAGTGATGCTACAATCATTCAATAGCTGGTAGTAGAGTTTATAAAAAAAAAAAACTATATTCTCAAAGCATGGACCTGTAATGATATTTTGTCAGTAGGGTATTGCTGCCATGACATCTTATTTTCTTTCTCCCACCTGTTGTTGCATTCTCCAGTGAAGGTGCGATATCGATCATTTAGACAATTCTTTGGAAGAAGCAGAAAAGCATAGCCAGAAGCCTTGTGCAACATGTCCAGCTGAGTTTCTGTCAGCAAGTCTATTGGATAAAAGAATTCTTTTAGTTATGAAAGCACCTGATGCTTCTGGATTTCAGTAGTTCCTAGCAAACAATTGAAATCCAGTAGCACAACCAAGACATACTGGTTAACTCTCCATGTAACAATGTTATCATTTGTCTACTGTACCTGAAATATTGAAGGGTCTGCTGTAAAGACTCTGTAACTTCTCCGTCAGAAGGTCATAGGTGGTCTCTATGTAGTCAGCAGCTCGGATGTGATTTCTGCTTGAGGCCACGGGCTGCTTAAAGTATGACATGACCTCAGAAGGGGTTATAGATCCCATTCTCAGTCTCTCTTTAAGTCTGAAATGATAAAATTTGTATGCTATTATTGCCAAAGGGTTCTTGGTTCATTTGAAGGAACTTTTACCTAAATTTTCCTGCCCGGACCTTTCCGCAATCCATGTAAAGTCCTGAGCAAAGCTGGTCATACATTATACAATTTTCTTGAGATTTTTGGTTTAGATTTACCAAAAACCATATAATAGGAGGTCAAACCTAACAACACTTTTAATTGTATCCAATTAGGCAGGCATTACATAGTTGAAGGTAAATCTAAAGGAAATTGGTCAGAAATTGGACAGAAAATTGTATAGTGTATGGCCAGCCTAAGGCTGGTCATACACTATACAATTTTCTTACAAATTTCTGTTCAATTTCTGCCCAATTTCCTTTAGATTTACCTTCAACTATGTAGTGCAAGGGCCTGCCTAATTGGATACAATTGAAAGTGTTGTTTAGGTCTGACCTCATATTGTATGGTTTTCAGTAAATCTAAAGCAAAATTCTATAGAAAATTGTAGTGTATGGCCAGCCTAAGTGTACACACAAAAGTATCAAACAAGCCATAGATCAGACAACTGAATTATGAAAAAAAAATGATTACCAGGACTGCTCTTGGGTTTACTAGCTAACATACGTACTTAACCACTTCCTGTCCAGGCCAATTTTCAGTTTTCAGCATTATCATACTTTGAATGACAATTGCGCGGTCATGCAACACTGTACCTATATGAAATTTTTAGCATTTTTTTGAGACAGAAAAAGCTTTATTTTAGTGGTATTTATTCACCCCTGGTTATTTATTTTGCTATTTAAATGAAAAAGTCCAAAAAGTTTGAAAAAAAGTGTTTTTCTTATAAAATTTTGCAAATAAATAATATTTCATCATAAATCTTGGCCAAAATTTATTCCGTTAACTTTTTAGTAAAAAAATAACACAAATTAGTTTATAACCACAAATTATAATTTTTTAAAACATTTTTTTACATTTTTTTTATTGTTTTATATTAATATTTTTTTTTTTACATACTGTCACCCTAGCAGTGCAGTGTCACCATGGTGACATTGTACTACTTGTGGGGTGTGATGAAGATTTTTTTTTTTTTTTTTACACTGATTGCTTTTACACCCATAAAGGCTGTAAAAGCAATCATTTCTCCTTCTCTCTGGCTGCATTCTTACAGCCATTGACAACTACTGAGTGAGCTGTGATTGGTCACAGCTTGTCACATGGTACAAGGCTGTTGTGAATAGCCTTGTACCATGTGACCTCTGTGATCATTCACAGATTTCACACGTAGTAAGCAAGGATGTCACAAGTGACATCTTGCTTACTACTCTGCATATAGTCACTGATTGGCCAATCAGTGATCACATGATCGGGACCTCACACAGAGGTCCCGTCCGACGACCGGTGTTCCACTGTGTCCGGAGGACACAGCGGGCACCGGAACGTGGTGCTGCGCACTCAGAGGGAGCGCGCACAACTAGTAAATGCAGGTGCCGTTTATGAACGGCAACCCGCCCCTAGAGTAACACGGTCCTGCCGTACAGTAGGTGGATGGCAAGTGGTTAATGAATGCTAAGTTTGAAAACAAATCATCTGCCCTTAGGCTGGCCATACACTATACAATTTTCCATTCAATTTCTGCCCAATTTCCTTTAGATTTACCTTCAACTATGTAGTTGGATACAACTTAGCGTTTTTTTAGGTTTGAACTCATATTATATGATTTTTAGTAAATCTAAAGCAAAATTCTCAAGACGATTGCATAATGTATGGCCATCCTTAGTGCTGATATTTTCATATAAATATAGTTTTACTTTTATGGTAAATAGAATAAATTTTTTCAGCTGTCTTTCAAATGTGAAGGTAGAGGTGAGATGTCCTTCATGCTTCCTGATGGGTGTGCCCTTAGCAATAGCTCAATGCTAACATCAGTTGCAGTTGTCCCATGACCTCTGAAAAGAAATGTCTAAAACTAATATAGTGTATGAAAATAGTGATCTTTAAAGTGAAACTTCACTGTCTCAATCAGCATTGACTATTTTTAATGTTTACGCTGATAGCATTAGTAAATAGATATAATATACCTTCTCATTTACTTGTTTCAAACATTTTTTTTTTTTTACATTTCTTTAGTTACTTTCTGGTTCCAGGCCTTAGCAAATTATGTCACACCCTCCTGCCTGCATGCCTGAGCTAAAGGCAGATGGATTCCAGGAAGTAATCGCTACATGAAGCATCTGCCCTTACTCAAGATGGCCACAACCAGAAATGCTAGTGATTTCACATTAAAATAAAGCACGGGGACATAATTGGATGGGGCAGTTTCCTTTAAATATTAAAAATGAATTAAATATCATTTTTGGTTTGTGGTGCTCAGATGAAGTGCAGTTCAGCTTTAAAAAATGATAGATTAGTTAATTAGTACAATTCCAAAATTTTCAGTGGTGAAAAGGGAACTTACACTTGGCGGGTATGTTTGTAGGCTGCATCCACAAGTTTCTTTGCTTGTTGGAGTGATTCAAGAATAAAGTTGTTGTCCAGTTCTTCCACTCCATCTAGAATGATGAGACAGAGTCAATCTTAGACCGCAGGGTATTATTGGATCAGTGTAAAGGCAACCGGTCAGCAGTTGCCTTTAACTGTTCTTATTGGTCTAAACTGGAGTCAGGTGAAATATCATTACAGTAGATCTTTTTTTTTTGCAGATAGAACAGTAGAGAGTGTTTTAAAAGCATGTCATTTTTTCCCATTGAGAATTCTTCTTACGTCCTGTCTCAAAGACACAACAGGAAGTGAAAGAAAATGTCTCCAAAGTGAAAGAAATACCCATTACAGACAGTACAGATGTCCCATTGGATCATTTTCCCTCACCACTTTCTCCTGACAATCAGAAATGCCGAAAGGATTAACTTCCCCAGCATTAAAACCTGACAGATATTCTAACCCAGCCTCACTATGAGAAAAAAAAATTGGATTCTGATACACTTTATTTTGCTATATTTTACTGCACTTGACTTGTCATTGGTTTGATTGTATTTGTTAATATATTGTGGCTGCTTTTCTGAATCTGATTAAGTAAAGTAAACATCAACAACATGCATTTACACAATAAATCTTATCAAAGGAATCATATGAGCAATATACACATTACTTAGTACATACTCACTGTATCAACATATATTTGCCAATTCTGTGAATTTTATACTCCTATTGTGCCACAGCATGTATTAAAGGAAGTAAACTGACAAAGTACCTTTGATTTTCTGTTATCTAAGGGTTCATGTATACTGCCTGATAAACTGATTCAGAAGCTTTTCTGTGTTTTTTTTTTAGCAGCCCCTGAACTCTGTCCCTAATGTTTTCCTATGTGTCCATGTACACATAGTCGTTTACAGTCATTTACAGACAGTTGAGTTTACAGATGTTTTTATGTACACACCAAACTTGCGTTCAGAAGTAGATTTTATCAGCGTTTCAAACGCCAAACGCTTGTAAACGCGGCTAACAGTGTTTATAAACGTTTGCGTTTAGAAGCATTTTTAACTGTTCCATATCCAGATGCTGTCCAGAGCCTTTTTTCATCATCAGAAACGCATGCAAAGCGTTTTCCATGTATTAAAATTGACCTAGCACACCAGCGCAGTCAGTTGCAGGTTTCATGTGAAGGAAAAAAATGGTAAAATGTGCTGCATTATGCTCATGATGGGACCCATAGTGAATACAACCAGAAAAGACAGGTCATCTCAACACATACTGCTCTCTCTGCTTCTGCTCTCTAGTTCTCTCAAAATGTCTGAAATAGGACATTTTTTTACTGTTTTTCAGTGTATTCTGGGCATTTTGGAAGGTCCCCTGAGGTTATCTTTAAAAAATGCTTCGAAATGCAAACGCTCATAAATGCGGTATGCAAACGCAGCTAAACAGACTTTTTTTAACCTACGTTTTCCAGCAGTCAGATTCAATCGTACAGAAGTGTTTTCCAAACACCCCATGTACATGGAGCCTAACTGTATCATTACCAGTTCAGTATAAAAAAAAATTGCAGAGCACTTAAATGTAAAGTATTATTTGCAATGAATTACCAAAACATAAAGTTGCTATCCTATCTAAATTCAAAATGTATAAATGGTGCTATATTTAAAAGACAATCTACATGTTTAACATTTTCAATATGATTGAAAAAGTATGTAATTTCATTCCTAATTTCATGTTTAATTTAAAATATTGTTCTATAAGGAGTCACCTGATCATTTAAGTTTTGGAGGACATAAAAAAAACTTTTAAATCATCCAGTCATTTTCTGTACCCCTCAAGCGAAATATGCAGGTCTGTACGCCTGCTGCAGCCATGACACTTAAATTCTGATGATCTGTGTTGACAGGTAATTTATTGTACATAACTGAATAAAGTACAGCAAGATGAATGATTATCTCTGGGGGGGGGGGGGGGGGGGGGGTGTGATAAAACTGGGAAGTATGATGAAATGATCCAGCCACTGAGTGCTCCAGACAGACAGTAGATCTAATGGTTAATCCAGCCCTATCATATGCCTAAACCATACATTTGTGTTTAAATATTAATCATTTAAAGATCTGGATATATTAGAAATTTATACAAATCATACCTAAAGCAGAATCAGAAATGCAATCAATTATTAAATTAAAAAGATTGGATAGCATTAAAGAAAACTTGACATGACAGAAATATTTGGCTAGCATAGCTACCCTTCTGAAAATCCTAGTTGCTTGTTTGCCATGCTGATCCTTTGACTGCAATACATTCTGAATCATTAACCTGGATAAAGTGTGCAGCTAGAGTAGTGGACTAGAATGTGACTAATTACCACTAGCTATATCATTGACTGGTGCCATCTGAACCTCCGATCGACATGCTTGTTAAGAGGCTAAAAAAGTATTGAAATACTTGGGTCAGCATTCGTGCCAGGCAACTACCATTTTCAGGAGGGTTGGCTACATAGTTACATGGTTAGTCTGGTTGAAAAAAGACAAAAGTCCATCTAGTTCAACCAATAAAAATGGAAAAAAAAAAGATAAAATCTCATATACACAATCTTATACCCAATTGATCAAAAGAAAGGCAAAAAAAAACAGTAAAGCATGATCTAATTTGCTTCAGCAGGGGAAGAAAATCCTTCCCCAAGTGGCAATCGGATTTTCCCTGGATCATCTTTACCTATAAAATGTTGGTTTCCAGTTATATTATGTGCATTTAGGAAAGAATCCAAGCCTTTTTTTTTTTTAAAGCAATCTGTTTATTTTAAGAAGACAAAAAATATTAAGTTAAATGGCCCAGATTAGTAAATATACAACTATACCTATACTTTGTTCTACTGTGGCTAGGTTATGCCAATGGCCATTTAAACATTTTTTTTTTTTTTACTGTATATTCGCCTTGGTATTTCTTATGCTGATTTTAAACTGTTATTCATATCAAAGATGATAAATAAAACATTCAAAATAAATAAGACTGTCAACAAAAATGGATTACCGTAATAAGATGCTGTGCCAATCTGCACCAGTCCGAGGACCAGGAGAAGAGAAATACTGGCATGAAGGGGAGCCATATTTCAGCTCCTGAAAGAAATTAATTTTGGATAAGTGAACTTTTCCTAAGGTTAATAGTGTCTGATCGGACAAAGGCGATCAGCTTGGCATCTAGTGAATTCGAATGGTGGGATGGTGTCTTTCCTTCTTTGTCCTGGATGTGCAGTTCTTGCAGTGGTGTTCAGGATTTATATGGAACAACACTGTGGGGGTGTGAATGGGGATGTCACAAGAGAGGTTGCACTACCACAGCTTATTAGGTAATGCGCTTTGACATACTGATTACAGAATACTCTGCATTAGGAAGTTTGACATAATGAATGTTGTATGCTAAAAAACAAGCTATTTTACTGAAAAACCATATAAAGATGTATTTGTAAAAATCCTTCAAATGGTATTGAACCCGGATACAAAAATATAGTACATTGCAGATGTCAGTCTGTAATGTGGTGGCTGCGTTTGTTGTTGATTTTTTCAGGCTCTTTTTCCTTTATTTCACCTGTCAGTAAAACACTTGCTATATTTGGATGTCTACCCTCCACTGTACAAGCAACACACACAGTTGGGAAGCTGCATTGCCAGTCTGGGGAGAGGGTACAGTTAGACTGGCAGATTTCAAAGGGCTTGACTAGGAAATTGAAGCTGAACTCCAGCTAACACATTTTAAACCGTTACAGCAAACAGTTTTTTTTTCCTTTTGGGATAAAGGTTTTACATAAATTAATAAAAGCTGACTATTGTGAAGACCCTGCCAGTGTTAAAGTGGAGTTCCACTCCCACTGTAAAAAATAAAAGTCAAAAACTGTAGCTGCTGACTTATAAAAAACAGCCACTTTACCTGTCCCTCAGTCCCGCGGTGTCCTCCCCACAGCCCGTTTCACCGGCCGTCCTGTGTTCCAGGCACTGGCATCTTCAGTGTGTTCACCCGGCTGTGAAAGCTTGCAGCTTCACAGCCAGGTGCCCACTGCGCATGTGTGAGTAGCGCTGCGCTTCATGTCACAGGTCCCAGAAGACTATGGGGAGGGAGGGGCGAGGACAACTTCCTCTTCCGATCGCCTAGGTGATCGCATTGGAGGTGGGGGCTGGTACCTGTCAAATTCGGGTACCTGCTCCCCAAAGGTGCCAATCCTTAGTGGGGAGCGGTTGACCAGTCTTTAAAGCGGAACTTCCACTTTTGGGTGGAACTCCGCTTTAAATGGTTTGTCTCAACCCTCTAACTGCTACTTTTGCTGGACAGCTTGGTTCTGTTAAAAGACAGACTTACTGGCTGGATCAAGAGGTGAAAAAAAAAAAAAAAAAACTAAAAAAAAAGAAACAAATGCATCTAATTGATTAAACTGCAATATTTATTTTATTTATTTATTACACGGACATACAGTGGGTATAAAAAAAGAATCACCCCCCTCTTTAAAATAATCACATTTTGTTGCTTTTGCAGCCTGAAATGAAGACAGACACAGTTTTTGTTTTATCCAGCTCTGTGAAACTTATAACATCCAACTGAAAGATATAACACCAACATGTCAGAAAATATTTAAATAAAAAGAATCAGAGTTGGAAAAATGATCACCCCCCTCCTAAAAATGACTTGTAAACTTGATCAGGTGTAGCTGATCATCTTCACAATGGCACACAAATCCGTTTGATTTTTCAACTATGATTAGCTGTGGTCATTTTGATTAGCTCACCATGAAAAGAGCTTTCCTGGAGCATTTTGGTCCCTGGCAGTGCAACTGAATCAACAATGCGTTGCAAGGCACTGTGAAAAGATCTCTGGGATAAAGTTGTGGACAGGCACAAGTCAGGAGATGGATACTAAAAAAAAAGACTTTATTAATGCTTAGAAGTACTGTCAAGTACTGAATCAGTTGCAGGAACTTATAACAAAGAGTGGTCATTGTGTGCATGATATACAACAATATCACAAATTCTCCACAAATGTTACTTGTATGGGAGGGTTGCAAGAAAAAAGCCACTCAACAAAGGCCACATGCAGTCACTAAGCTTTGCCAAAATGCACCTTGAAGATTCTGAGGCCGCATGGAGAAAGGTGTTATGTTGAGATGAGACTAAAATTGAATTATTTGGCCTCAACACTAAATGATATGTATGCAGAAATCCAATACACCTCACCATCCAAGTAACACCATTCCTACAGTAAAGCATGGAGGAGGTAATATCCTGGTATGAAAGTATTTCTCTGCAGCAGGGACTGGAGCAATTGTCAGGATAGAAAAGAAAATGGATGGGGCAAAATACCATCAAATTCTTGAGGAAAATCTGCTGCCCTCTGCCAGAAGGTTGGCAATGGGAAGAAGGTTTACCTTCCAACATGACAATGACCCAAAGCACACAGCAAAAATGCACACGTCAAGACACCTATGCATGAAAATGTGATTGCAATACAAATGTTACATATCGCCGTGCACGCTGGAGTGAGAGCAATAATTCTAGCACCATAACTCCTCCGTAACTCTAAACTGATGACCTATAGGGGCTTTTGAAGCATCATCTATAGAAAATATTGGGTACTGAAGTTTGATGCAATTTCATAGGCGCACACAAATTAAGGTTTGGTATGTTGGGCATGTATTTGCTTGGCACAACCTCATCTTTTATATTTTACCAATAATTTGGGTAATTTATTGCGTTTGTTTGCCCTAAAATGTATGCTTTTCTTTTTTGCTTTCCTAGACCTTTGCAATAATATTGTGTGACATAAAAATTTGAACTACCACTATTTTATTCTCTAGGGTGTCTGCTTTTAGAAAATATATAATGTTTGGGGGGGTTTAGGCCTAAAATGATTTTTTAAATGTGTGCATAAAATACCAAAATGGCTTTGGCAGTGAAAGGGTTACACTCAGGTGACCAGGCCATTTTTGCAGTTTTTCCATTGTTTTTATTTTTTATTTTTCCCTTAAAGCATTCAGAGTTTGTAGAAGACCTCCCTAACCATACATTTTCTGAAAGAATAGGTCCAGTAAAATAAAATGAAGGTGTTACTGATTTTTTAGGCTCTGTGATATTTGTGCAAATGTTTTATCAAACCATAATTTTGCTAAAAATACACAAAAATCCTTATTGGGCGGACACAAATATTACGGAAAAACTTACAAAATTCCTTCTAAATTCTTACTAAATAAAAAAGCTAAAACTATATTGAGTTAATAAAGAACAAAATATTTTTAAATTTTAAATTGTACCTTTTTGTGAAAATGGCGAAAAACGGCAACATTGTATATTATAAAAACAATTTAGTCTAAAATCTGGAGGTTATAATTTTTTCACTTACAGCTTTCAGAGTTTGTAAAAGACCCCCAAACCATACATTTTCCTGACCTATAGAATTAAAAAAAGTGCTGATTTTTTATACCCTGCAACAGTTGCACAAATGTTTATTAAATCGCTATCTTCACTAACAATACACTAATATTATTATTAGCGGACACAAACACAACATAATTTACAAAATCCATGCTAAAATTCCTGCTAAGGTCTTGTTCACATTGGGAATAAAAAAGTGTATGCCGTGGAGGGCCATGTTTACGAGCACAAGGATCTCCAGGTGTTCCGTACATCCCAAAGCAGGTAGTCCCATTCATGTCAATTAGGATGCAGCGGCTGCACAGGCACAGCCACTGCTCCCGATCTGACATGTGTGAATGCATAATCCCAAATGCAGATAGTGTGAGCTCAGGGACATGCACCTGGACCCACATGGATGTCAAATTGGGACAACAGCAGCTGTGCCTGTGCAGATGGTACATACCAATTGACACCAATAGTACTGTGTATCCCCGCGTGGGTAAACACAGCCTCGCAGGGGTGTACGCTGTAGTACGAACAGTGCCATTTTGATCATTTGTGTCACATATCAAGTTGTATTTGCTCTACTGTTATTCTAATGTTTAAACTCACCCTTTACTTCACTATGCATAGAATACTCAATCACATGCAAGGCAAAAAAAAAAAAAAAAAAAAAAAGTTTTTTTGCTTGCACATAATTGGATGATGCAATTTAGCAGAGCTTCACTGTATTCACTGCAGCAGTACAGGGGCCTTTTTTTTGTTACTTTGTCCAAGTGGTTTCTCATCAGCCCTACCCTTTATTTGTATTGAAAGGCCATCTTTATGCAAAACAGATGTTTCAGTATTACGAACTTTGCAACTGCAAATTGAATCACATTGGCTTCTTTTATCTCTCAAGGACTTCAGTACTTTGATATCCTTAACAGGTTCCCCCCCAGCTCCAATCAATGGTGTTGCCATTAAAAAATCAAATCGAGATTGAGCTCCCCAGTCAATTTTCCATAAACCACAATATAAAAATGTACAAAAATCCAGCTGCAAGAGTGCATTTATTATTTTTTAGCAAAAGGTGAACGTATGCTTTAAGAACCTCCATATTAGTGAAGTAAAGCAAGGCCTTTCTAAGCAGAACTTGCTCAGAAATGCCAGCTGTCCTTCACAAATCAGTTCTGAACAGTATTTTGTATGCAGTTGTAAGAGGGGCTCTGTGATTAGCTGGATGTTGATGCCAAAGCACAAGTTCCTGCCCAGCTCCTGTCCTTACTAGAACACTAACCCTCCTACTGAGGCTATACTGTCCGCTATATTGTGCCCCACTCCAGGCCAGAGGCCTCCACACAACATTTCTGGCCGTTGACCTCTATATCTCCAAAGAAAGGAATGTCCACAGATGAACATGCTGCTGCACTTTATCTGTGGTACTTGGAAGATGGCACAAAACAGTCACATCCCATTGACTTGCATTCCAGAGTCAGTTGACAGTATATTGCCAATCTCATTTAGTGGACAGGAGAGTGTGGTGTCTGGCAGGAGACTACTCATTGAAAAAAGTGCTCTGAGACCTTTCTTTTTCTAAGAGGGTCACCCATTTGTGGTGAGTGATTTCAGACATGGAGTGTGAGCACAGAAGACTCTTGTTGTTGTGCACTTTATATTGTTTACAGAGCACTGCCAACTTTATATTTTGTTTGTGACTGGGTGCACCGTT